TTTTAATGTTCATCCTCCTCAAGAAAAACGGACGAGTGAATTTTAAGGAAATGTCTGATGGCGGAGATTGGACCGTCGTCTAACTGTACCCCACCATATCGACAGTTCTGTACAACCGTTTGTCAAGTTGCGGCGTAAGATTGGTGGCCTGTTTTAGATGCCTCGTTGCCTCACAGAAGCAAAAACTTAGAACCAGTGTTATGAAAACCTGCAGAAACATGTCCTCTGCCCAAGACGTTAACCACGACTATCAAAACGTCGTCTGGCCATAGACAAAATATAAGTAGTTTTGCACTTGGAACCAAAGCTAGAAATGCCGATTCCTATGAGTAACGATGGGAAGCCCCTGACTGATGTCAAGAGGGTTAGCGAGGGTTCAGGTGATGACACCATATTTGTTGTGACTTTTCAATTTTTTGTTTCTGACTCGTCCGAAAACAAAACTGTCGTGTTTTTTGAAGTTGTTTTTATATGATAACTGCTGTTTTAGCCGCAGTCGCGTTCCGAAAGTTATCACAAGAATGCTGAGTTATGGGCAAAAGTCGAACCCCAGGCGGGAGTCGAACGCGCACCTCACGCTTTCCGCTTTGTAAAGCCTTCGGCCTAGCGGTTCATTGCCGATATCTAACGATTACGGCTGACCGGCTCACCATGTAAACGTGTGAGTGTTGCAAGGCTACGGCATGAAAGCCGTTGCGCATGGTAAGAGCGGCCCTGGTGGAGTAACAGACAGCGCACTCGCCCGTAAAGTGTAAGGTGCGGGTACGACTCCCGCCTGCGGCTTGGCTTTTGCCATAACTCAGCATTCTTGTGAAAACAGTCACTATTGAGTGTAGCGTACAATTGGCGACTAGGTCGACGAACGGATTGTAACACACAATTACAAGAAGACCATACTTGCCCCGCACCATGCCAAGCACCAAATACTACTGGGCAATCTTTTTCGGAAATACTGAGATTTCGATTCAACCAGCCGTATTCGCCCCTCCTGCGTCTTCAACTACTTTGGTCAACTGAAGGCACTTTGGTTGCTAGTGGCAAACACTTTGGCAACTAGCACATCCCGAAATTGTTTTTAGAAATATCTTACGTGCACCTGCACCTTGTCGTATGTTGGAAGAGAAAGAAGCTGCTCGGGTCGGTATTTTCTGGACGCTGGGAGCGGGACAGCTTGTATGACTGTTCGCTCAGCCTAGGACCAAAAAGATCAGGACATTTCTTTTCTGCCTTCCTCTTCGTTTCGAATAAGATCCAGGTCTTCACATTCCGAAATCTGTATACTCGCAGTGGTTTGGTGATAGCGTGGAGGTAAACGGACATACTTATGATAACGATCTCTTTATAACGTTCTTTGAACTCGAACTAATTACATTATAAGTTTTGCAGGAGCAGAATGTCATTCCTTTGGAAAAGAGCAAAAAAAGTAACATTTCTTCAAAAGCGTACCCTTTAGTATTTACTGAAGTAATTAATAGTCTTACACGAGAAAAAAAATGAAATCTCTCTTTTGTGCCGGACAATATACGAATAACGTACCAGGCAACTCCACATTTTCCACATTTTTTAGAGGCGTAACAACCACAGATTCGACATAAATTGGGAGCGTCCTCAGGTAAACGCGGATCAGCAACATCGCCATCTGTAGCAAGTATCGTGAAGAAATATAAGAATCATTCCCCAAAGTCAATTCCAGACCTAGATCGGGATCCATAGGTCCATCAAAGGAGTAGAATGGATTCCCTCGCGGAAGGCAGCAACGGAAAACGGCTATGTTAGATGCATCGTTGTTCTGTGAAATAGAATCTATCAATGTAAAGACTGAAACTGGAAACTCTGCTCAAGAATATATTACCAGTCGCCTCGCCGGCTGACGCCGGCTCCTTCTGATACGGCCCGGCTGCGCCGGGCGGGCGCGGCTTCGCCGCGCGTACCTTCTTCTCACATATTTCTAGACTCAACTGATATCCGCCTTTTGTTCTGTACTCCACTTTTCTCCGGTGTCTGAAGTACTCTTGAGCTATTTTACAGATTCTTCGTCTGACTCCGCCCACCTCAGAGCAGACCCCGCCCACAATTTTTGTGCCCCACACTCTTCACCGGCGACCCTCTGCTGACCTTAATCCACTTTTTTCCGGTGTCTGAAGTGCTCTGGGACAGTTTCACAGAATTCTTCGTCTGACTCCGCCCACCTCGAAGCAGCCCCGCCACAATTTTTGGCCACACGGTCCTCACCGGGCGACCCTCCGGCCTGACCTTAATCCACTTTTCTTCCGGCTTTGAAGTGGCTCTGGACAGTTTTTACAGCAGCATTTTCGTGTCTGGCTCCGCCACACTCGGGCTGGCCCCGCCCATCTCGAAGGGGCGCCCTTTTGCCCACGGTCCTCACTCGGCGACCCTCTGCTGACCTTAATCCACTTTTTTCCGGTCTTCGGAGTGCTCTGGAACCGTTTTACAGACCTTTTTGTCTGGCTCCGCCCACCTCGGAAGCAGGCTCCGCCCACAACGTTTTTGCCCCACGGTCCTCACCGGCGACCCTCTGCTGACCTTAATCCACTTTTTTCAGGTCTTGAAGTGCTTTGGAGAGTTTTGGAGAATTTTTGTCTGGCTCCGCCCACCTCGGGCTGGCCCGCCCACAACATGTATACCCCACATTTCTCAATCGGCAACCCTCTGCTGACCTTAATCCACTTTTTTCCCGTGTCTGGAGTGCTCTGAAACTATTTTACAGATTTTTCGTCTGACTCCGCCCAAACCGGAGCAGGCCCCGCCCACAATGTTTGTGCCCCACAGCCCTCACCGGCGAACCTTTTCCGACCTTGACGCACGTTTTTCCGGTCTTTGCAGTGCTCTGGAACCGAGCTACAAACTTTTAAAATGAGTATCCTGCGGTTTAGGGCAAGCTCCGCCCACTGTGGGCGGATCTCAACACATTTTGAGCGTGCCCAATACTCGCCAGATATTTACATTCTGCACTGAGCTTTTTGCGGCTTCTGAACACTCTCGCGAACCGAGTTACTGAGTTTTATGCGAAGCACCGCCCACCTTGAGTACGCCCCGCCCATTTTGGATGTGTCTGCCACAGTTAGTCTGGCGACTCCTTACTAACCTTATTCCCTTTTTTCCCCATCTTAGGCTGCTCCGGAAGCGAATTATGAACATTTTTCTGTGGAACCCCAAAATTTCAGCGAGTGCCCCGCCCACTGTGGGCGGGGTTCGCATAGGTCAAGTGTGCTTTTTATTTCTTGTCCCATGCATCCCCACCTTGACCCGACCTCTCTAAGTCGTTCTTCAGGTCGAACCGAATTTCCCGGACAGACAAACTTACAAACTTACAAACAAGCAAACAAACAAACAAACAACAGACGAAGCGAATTATATATATAGGGGTGATGATTTCAGCCATTAGTGAAGAAAGTATCCCTTTCCTGAAGCTGCGAGAAGCGGATGTGCTGGAATCTTAACAAAAGTACGCGATTCCCAAATGATTGGATCAAGTTGGTATCGGGCTTTAACAGCCGACAAGAGCTTCAAAAACTCGCAGAGGGAGATCTATGAGTGGTTCCCAACGCATAATATCAATATGTAAAAGCTTCATTTGTTTTTGTTTATGAAAAGATTAAACGAGGAATGGGTAAAAGAATGTGAATACGGGTATAGCGAAAAGAAGTAGGCAACACCAATCGAGATTGACAGGGAAAGGGACCTTTACAGTAATTTTAGTCCAAATTTCTTTAATTAAGCCGCACAGATATAGAGTGCAATTTTTCAAAAGAGAGCATGGAAAAAAGCTTCAAAGGCTAAAGGATACCTTGGAGCACTCTGGATCACGACAGATGAAGACGAATAAGGTCCGATGAAAAGCGTGAGGAGGATCATTATCACCTGTTGCGTAAATTTGAATCAAAAAAGCCATTGCCTTTTGACATACCTTAAAAACAGTTCTTAATGAATGTTTAGAAAGCAGGTGAATGCAGAGAAATTCCTCACACTGCACTGCAAGTCAGCTGTTGTAGGAAGACATTGAGGGTTAAGCCATGACGGTTTACCGCCAATTTTTCCCAACGGTAAAAATATACTTCGAAGGCGATACAAGTTATCAGTTTCTAAAGCGTTTCCAAAAACAAGATATACAGGGGAATCTGAAAACGCGATTACAGTGAAATAAATAGAGTGAGGAGTAGAGGTATAAGGTATCTTCCTTACCATGCGCATTTCTTTGCATGGTTCTAGTCTTGTTTCTTTATTGTTCTCTTGTCCTCTTCTTTGCTTGCAGTGAAGAGCCAAAAACAGAGAACCACGTGCACAAGAATTACAGCAATGATAGCGGAGTAGGTCAGTGCGTCATCTGCTGAGTAACCAAAGAGAACTGAAAAGCGATACTGATTAACTAGAGAGTGCTTCTTCTCTAGCATCTGCTATCTTTTCTCTGATCGCAGTAATCTAACGGAAAAAATTTCATCTCGACAACAATGAGAAAACGAAGAAGACCTCACAAGGGGTAGTGGTTAAGATCCTTTCCCCCACCCCCCGCTCCCCCGAACATCCGTACCCATCAACATCTACATAATACAATCGACTCAGTGGTTTTAAGCGCATGAGAAGTGATTAACCGGAGCAATCTGCTATCACGGCAGAAAAAGAGACGCAGGCTGCGTTCACACTTTGCGGCGACGCTCGCTGATGTGCTACCATCGAAGAAGCTTTGCAATGCTAGTGAAATTGATGGATCGATCCAATATCTCTCACTAAATCCAACATTATCGCCCTTTTTCCTTTACTATTTACTTTCATTTCAGCAGCTGTTTTTTTAGTTCGAAGTGTTTCACCTTCAAGATAGTTATTCTGTCATCGCGTAACGACTTTTGGCTCGGTCAAGTAGGGGCTTTTTTCTTGCATGAAGCTTTAACATGGAATTTTGTATGGAAAGTAAAAGTTTCTTTTAATGTGTCCCGAGTTATTTGATAGATAATTCTCCGCTCTATAATAAAATTTGCTTAGTTTTCTTCAGTCTTGTTTTTTTTCAATTTAAGCTTCATACGATAGAGCTTCATGTCGACACAAGTGATGAGAGATTTCAAAACCACCCCATCGCGCTTGATCTAGGAAAATAGCCAATGCAACTTGAAACTTGTGATGTGTTGATGAAGGAGCGATGCCTCTTGCGGCGATTTGAAAATGTTTCAACCGATTTGGACATGGGGAATTTCACTGTTAATGTACATAGCACTGAACTCCGTGCTGCACCCCACTAGGTGGCTTCTCGGCCACAAGCTTAATAAATGAGCCTCTGCGACTGCACTGCTGCATTTTAATTAAAAGGAGAGGGAACATGCTTGATTCAGTCGACTTGACGTTTCATTTAGTACCCGAGAAATGGAGGGAGAGTAAGACTGTGCACATGTTCTTCGTTGCTTTTATCGGGAGATAAATATTCAATCGGTGTTTGATCAGGGAGACAACATGGGAACATCAACAGTAATGACTTGGAGATTGAAACACAATACCAAAACCAAAACAGCTACGCAGAACGGGTTAAAAAAGGAAGGAACTTTTGGTGACTGTGATCACGCAACCAGGACCGGACCGCTTCACTCAATCGGTGCATGCCGAAACGGCTAGCTTAATCTCATTTGGAGGAACAAATCTCTTGTTAATCTTTTTTGTTATAGAGACTTGACGACGAACTAACTCAGCGCTAGAACATCTATGCAAAGTAAGATTTCATGTCAACAGGATAAGAAGGCAGCCGCGAAGAGTCCACCTTTACATTAACTATTGTCATCGAATATAAACCGCAAGTAGGGGCACGTTGAAACTGTCCTTAGATAGGGACTCTGCAAGCAAAAGCAAAAAAAAATACAGAAAATCAAAAGTTGAAATATAATCTTTCAGATGTCGTAGCGGAGGTTTTTAGCAGTGCACCGCCCCCGGTCGTGGTCGCGTGATCAGGACCAAATCTCTGCGTATAACGGTACCGAAACCGCAGTAAAGGAGGAAAACCTTTGGTCAAGGCGGTAAGGAGCAGCTGAAGGACTCTTTGGGTGAAAATGCGATTATCATAATGCGAAAGTTTTTGTACATTTTGAAAGGACTCATGTGTGAAAACGGGAGTTTGTCCAAAACTACGGAAATCCCTTCTCAATCGGGTTTTTCTCGTATCTTTGGACAAAACTCTCATCTTCATTGAAGAAGTCCACGTCTTGCCCAAAAATTCTTCAAATACCCTCCCCCGCCAAGTTGCGTCAGAACTAACCCTAGCCATTTTCACTGATGACAGAGCAAAAAGATGCGAACCTTCGAACAGATATCGCTTCAGGAGAAACATTGACCCAAGAGGAACCAACAGAATGACGATGCTGTACACAAGAAGATTCTTAACGGCGCCCTGCACACGCTCGTCTCGCAGATTCGGTATCAAGTCGTCCATTAGGCCTGCAAAATAACTGCTACTCGATGTGATACAGGGCACCAGATAAGATTCTCGCTAGAATAGTTGGAGAGAAGACAAGCAAAGTGTGATAATCATAATCCTCCCCAACTCATCTTTCTATTCCCTTTCTCGCACCCTCATTTACAAACTTTACCTAGTAATGAGAATCAGTTCAGAGGGTGAAAAGAACTACAGCCATCCTCTTCTACCGCAAAACACTGAATGCGCTTGGTGGGCATAAAGATGGCAAGAGGTGAACGAGAAAACCATTAGGAGTAAAGTTTTAGGAATGAGGCCCCATTCTTAAACCCATGATTAAATGCAAGCGGCACGATAAATCGACGAGGCATATAGGGCAAAGCATGGCATGAAAGAATACTGTGCCCCTGAGCAGGCCTTGCGTGGCGCCTTTTGCAACCGACGGCGCGTTACCTCGAAGAGTCGGCTAATATCTCCTAAGGACTACGTACTGAAAAGGTGAGCGAATATAAAGAACGTAATTCAGGCTGCGTTCTTTCTTTGCGTCAGCATACGGGAGCGTTGCTAGCTTCTTCTCAGCGTACGCCAGCGCCAAGCGACTAGGAAAGCATAGGTATAGATCTAGTCTACGCCAGCGTTTTCGCGGTCAGTTTTGCTCAGGCTCAAACTGACGCTTCCCGAAAAGCTGGCATACGCTAGATCGATACATCGTTTCCTAGTAGATGGCGCTGGCGTATGCTCGCAAGGTCGAAATGCCGCCGCACGCTGACGCAAAGTATGAACGCAGCCTTATCCCACTTTCTCTGACACCATACCACCTCCACAGAACATCAGCGCTACCAGTCGTGCTCAATACCGTGATAATGCGATGACACAGAAACAACACAACGTTAGTATATCGATATGAAAATAAAGATCGGTTAGAATACCATAGACAGAAAACAACAACACATAGAAGGAAATTTTATTCCGACAGATATGACTTGGCGTAAACCATATTTCAAATCTACTGTATAGTTCATGTACACACATCTCGAATGCGAGAAGATAATATGTGCAACTTTGTAGCAACGTGGAAAACTAGCGTATCTGTAGCAGAAGTCCAATATCAAAAAAAGCATGGGCAAAACATGCAAAAAAACAAACACTCCCTCAAAAAGGAAAATATTTCTCTACATTCGCGCCTTATTCGGTCTTTCTCAATAAAAGTTTCTCTACATCGATTTGCTCTTCGCGATAAGCAACATAAACAAAGGCGACCACGATGAGGATGACCACGACGATTCCACATAATCCCGCGTACAACATAGCCTGATCCGGAGGCAAATCAAAATAATCTGAAAAGACAGAAAATTTTGGAACACGCCTTAAAAAGCTTTGAAATAATTTTGGGGCACTTAGAAAGGAGCACAGGAAACACTGACCTCTAAAAACATAGTGATACGTGGTGAACATCGTAAGTAGAGGAAGAACAAACATTGCAGCTGAAAACCTGATCAAGTTTTTGATTGCACTGCGAGTATGAGCAGAACCGGCTAGCAGCTCCTAAAAAATAAATAGATTACCCATATACTGGAGGAGGCACAAACCGCAAGAATCCGTTTTCAGCGCCTAACGGTAACCACTAATGCATTTGGAGATTGTATAACACAACGAATCTTCAACAGTTCACTAACCAGAACCTCAAACGTATCGAAAGGAGCTCAAAAGCCTTTGATTCGCTTGCGAAATGTGGTGTCCCGCACCACCATCAGCTACAAGAACCTGCCCAGCTGTTACAGCCTCTGCG